ACACGACGACCAGTGCGACCAGCGCGAACAGGCAAGGCAGGAAGAGACACAGGCTCACGACGCTCTGTAAGCGAGTCTGGCTGCTCAGTGTAAGGAGAAGGAGCAGGCAGTGGTGCGCCGGGCTGTAACGGGAGGCCAGTAGAAGACGGGAGGCTAAGAACCTGGCGAAGCACAGAGTCAGGCGGTGGCAGAGACGACGGTGACAGCAGAGCGAAAAACAATCGCGGCGGTGCAGTGCCACCAGTACCAGTAGCTCCAGCGCCTCCAGCAGCTCCAGAACCTCCAGCTCCAGCGCCTCCAGCAGCTCCAGAACCTCCAGCAGCAGCACCTCCAGCTCTAGTGCCTCCAGCAGCAGCACCTCCAGCTCCAGCGCCTCCAGCAGCAGCACCTCCAGCTCCAGCGCCTCCAGCAGCAGCACCTCCAGCTCCAGCGCCTCCAGCAGCAGCACCTCCAGCTCCGGCGCCACTAGTAGCAGCACCCCCAGAACTGGCACCTTCAGTCCCAGGGTCCCCAACTCCAGGGTCGACAGCACCAGCTCCCCCAGAGCCGACACCTCCAGCTCCAGGAGCAGCACCAGTCCCGGCAGCTCCAGTACCTCCAGTACGAGCACCTCCAGGACCAGAGACACCAGCACCCCCAGCACCTCCACGACAAGCAGCTCCAGCAGTACGACTCCTCAGGCGGGTACGCGACGCAAGCCACTGTCGTGCCTGCTGTGGTGAGAGAGGCCCGCGTCGGGAAACGAGACCCAGAGGAACGCCAGCAGACTCGGCACCACCCGACCCGGCACCCTCCGGCTCAGCACCCCCAGGCTCCGCACTCGTAGGCGCAGTACCCCCAGGCTCCGCACCCCCCAGCACCTCACGGACAGGCTCAGCACCCCCAGGCTCCGCAGCCGCAGGCTCAGCACCCCTAGGCTCCGCACTCCCCAGCACCTCACGCGAAGGCTCAGCACCCCCAGACGCAGCACCTCCAGCAGCACCTCCCGCAGCAGCACCTGAGTCGCTAGTGACCTCTACAGGCTCAGCCAAGGGGGGCGGGTCTACCTGAGACACACCTGGAGGAGCAGGACCCTGAGGGGGGAGCGAGGAAAAGCGGTGGGGGAGGGAGAGGGGCAGTGCGGTAGGGGAAGAGGGTAGAAAGGAACCGACTCGTCAAAGGTGACGTCCTGAGAAAGCAGGACACGGCGCGAGGTGGGGTGGTAAAACTACCAGCCAGGCGCGTCAGGGACAAAGCCAAGGAAGACACAAGGAATGGTGCGGGAGGAGAGCTTGTCCGCAGACGTATTGCGGACAAGGGCACGAGCACCCCAGACCCGGAAACGCGACGCATCGCCAACCTCCCCCGTCCAACGCAGTGTGGGCAAGGTCTCCGGCAAGGAGACACGGGGCCAGAGGTTGAGCTGCTGCGCGGAGTACCGGACCGCAAACGGCCACAGAAAATGGGGAGCCGCCGCATGGATCAGGGAGGTACGAGCGACCTCCATGATCAAGCCAATGCGGCGCTCAGCAACCCCATTTTGCTGCGGTGAGCCCGGAAGCGTGAACGACTGCTCGATGCCCTCCCCCTGACAGAAGGCCCGCAAGAGGTCGGAGGTGAACTCACCACCTCTGTCAGAGTGCAGACGTAGGACAGGCAGTTCCTGGCGGAACCTGCGGCGGAGCTCGAGACGAAATGCTCGGATCCAAGGGATCAGGACAGCAGGGACCTCACCCTTGGTGCGCAAGGGGAAGACCGTGGTGTAACGCGAGTAGACGTCGACAACCAGCAGAAAGTACCGCTCACCGCCCTGTCCACGAACGCGGGCTGGGCCCCACACGTCCAAGTGGAGGGTCTGCAGAGGAGCCTCTGTCGGGGGAAACGAGGAGGAGTGAGGAGCGGCGCGCTGCCGCCCCTCGACGCAAGGAAGGCAGGGCGGCACAGGCGAGGCAGGGAGGGGAGGGAGAGACCTGGGAAGACCAGACACAAGGAGACGACGGTGCATGCCACGGAGACGTGGCAAGGAGGGGTGACCCAGGCGGTGGTGCCAGAGAAGAGTCTGGTGCGACAGGGAGCGACACTCACAGGGGGAGGCCACCTGACCTGACGCAGACACCTGACCAGTAGCAGCTACCTGAGGAGGCGCAGTCGTCAGTGTGTAAAGACTCGACCCTGGCCAACGGGTAAACGTGGCCAGGTGGCGGCCGGTCTGGGAGCACGTATGATCGCCACACGCTGCCGACCAGGGGTGAAGGTGTCAACCCCCGCATCCTGGAGGACAGCAGTGCTCACCAAGTTCGTAGAGCACGAGGGGAGGTGGAGACCTGACAGAGAGCCAGACGGAACCGCCGGGCACGGGAGCACAGTGGTGGATCGTGCAAGAACTGGGCCCCCTGAGGGGTCAGCCAGAGAGACTGCAACAGGTGCAGGGAGTGGAGTGAGTGCAGTACTGTCACGAAAGAAGCAGCGGGAAGCACCTGAGTCAAGCGTGAAGGTGTGCAAGACCTCAGCAGGCGCAGTACCTGAGAGAGCAGACTCGCTCGCACCTAAGGCAGCAGCCTCACCAGCACCTAGAGTACCAGTCTCTATACCGGGGTCAGGCGGCACACACAAGTAACAGTCACCATCAGCACTAATCTCCAATGCATACATGGCAGTAATAATAGCATCATAGTCAAGGGCAAAGATGTCTGCACCAGCCCTAAGCAGCTCATACCAGCGAGGGCGCTCATAGTCCTCGCCCATCTCCTCACGCCAGGCGTCGTCAAGGCGGGAGAAGCAGCGGTACTGGGTGTGGAACTTCCCGCATGTCTGACCCTTGCGGTCACCTGTGCGAATGACATACGGGCAGCGACCACCACCCCCAGACCTCCCACGCTGAGCAAGCCACTCACGAAACTGCTCGGTCGTCTGGGGACTCTGCTGCTGCTGCTGCTACCTCTGACCAGCGCCCGTGCCTCCACCCCGACCGCCACCCCCACCGCCACTACCGCCCCGGCCGCCACCGTTGCTGCCACCGCCGCCGCCACCGCCGCTGCCACCCCCTCCGCCACCACTGCCTCCACCGCCGCTACCGACGCTACCACTCCCGCCAGCACTCCCGCCGCCACCCCCTCCGCCACCTCCTCCTCCTCCACCGCCTCCACCACCACCCCCCCCGGTGCCACCTCCGCTACTCTTGGCTCCCTTGCCCTTGCCGCTGCGGCGCCTCCCACTAGGAGCAGAAGCAGCACCAACAGACTCAGCACCAAGGTAGTCAACAGCAGCGGCCGTAGCGTGGGAGGGGGCAAGGGAAGAGGGAGAGCACCCCTCAAAGATGGGGGTGCGAGGAGCGCCACGAGCAGCACCTACAACGACAATGCTCTTCTCTGCTGCAAGGAGGTGCTCCTCTAGGAGGTCGACAGTGAGGTCGGTGGGACAGCGAGCGAGAAAGTGGTCCCCGACCGAGCTAAGAGAGTCAGGGAGACGGGCGACTATGAAGTGGAGGGTCCAGTACATCGGAGGCGGGTGCTTAGCACAGAACTCTTTGGGGAGGGCGGATCGAAGGCGGGTGTCGCTAGTGCGAAGGTGGGTAATGAGATCGGCAACTGTGGCAAAGGTTGACAGATCAGGAAACAGGTAGGGCAGCATGAGGCGGCTAAGCTCAGCTGTGGCAGGGGAGGAGTATCGATCAACTACAGCGTCGTACAGGGTCTTAGCAGTTTTGTACTCGCCAAAATGCGTGAGCTCGACTAACGGAAGGTGATTACGGACGGCTAGGCGCGCAGCACCATCACGGGTCTGCCACTGGGAACGGGCGCTAAGCTCAGCGGTGGCAGCGGGAGCGACTGAGGCACCAGACGTGTGGTCATAGAGGGAGACATTGTCCTTGCTATCGCTCATTAGGAACAGCTGCAGGTCATCTAGCCAGGTTTCGAACTGAATCGGGCGGCCCTCGGCATCGAACGACAGAACTCGGAGGGTGGCCATAGAAGCTGGCGCGAGACTAGCAGTGCAGAGCGATTGCAGGCAAGTAGCAGTAGTACTAGCAGCAGTGCAGCAGTAGAACCGGTCTGCCAGGCAACTAGGCAGTGCGGCGCAGCTCAGCAGTGCAGTGCGGCTCGGGCGGTGCAGTGCGGCTCGGGCACGGTGAGACAGTGCGGCGCTGGTAGCAGTAGCAGCGTAGCAGTGGCAGCCGCGGCAGGGGCAGGCAGCGCATGGGGCTACAGGCGGCCGGCAGGGCAGCAGGGCGGGCCGCACGCAGGGCCTAATGGGCGGCTGCAGTAGCAGGGCGGGCGGCGCGTTGGTGCAGCAGGTAGCCGCGGCAGCAGGGCAGGCGGCGCATGGGGCGACTAGCGGCCGGCAGAGCAGCAGGGCGGGCGGCGCACGGGGCTGCGAGGCAGCGCTACAAGCGGCGCGCGGGGCGTAGCAGGCAGCCGCGGCAGGAGCAGGCGGCGCACGGGGCTACAGGCGGCCTACGGGGCTGCTGGCGGGTGGCGCGCGGGTCGGCAGGAGCTGCGCGCGGGCTGCGCGGACGGCAGGCGGGTCGCGCGGGCTACTAGCGGGCGGAGCGCGGGCCAGCAGAGGCGACTAGCGGGTCGCGCGGGCTACTAGCGGGCGACGCGCGGGCCGCGCGGGCTGCTAGCGGGACGTGCGCGGGGCTAGGGCAGTGCAGGGCGCGGGGTAGCTCGGTAACCGCAAGAGGTAGGTGGTGGGCCCGAAAAAAACGCTCCTAAGGTCCTAAGGACCTATTGCTCTTAACATATATAGTTTGACAGTACAAACACGAGTTGCACACAAAAACCCTAAACTCGGTAAGAACAGAGAACTCGGGACCCAACCTTGCTCTAATGAAGATGTGCATGTGGTTAAACCCCCCAGCCCTCTTCTTACTGGGACGACGGCGGCGAAAAACCCAAACCCCTGGTTCTGGTGGTTGGGTGAGTACAGTAGGGCTGACCTGGCCTTGTGGAACGTCATCACCAGCCAAACCAACTCCAACGTGTGTTGGAGGGAGTGCTACCTGCCAACGTGACAATCTGTCAATAGTTTGTGTGGGAGTGGTGGAAGTACATTTGGTTGAGGTGGGCGGTCAGCAGGTGGGCGGCCAGGAGGTGGGCGGCCAGCAGGTGGGCGGCCAGCAGGCGGGCGGCCAGGAGGTGGGCGGCCAGGAGGTGGGCGGCCAGCAAAGAGTGAGTTTGTGGAAGGGGTGTGAGCGTGTGAGTGTTCGAGCGACTACTGCTGCTGGAGTGAGTGCTACTGCTGGGGTGAGTGGTGGAAGTGCGGTGGGGGTGAGTAGCTACCGTCCCAGTGATTGCTATCGCCCAAGGGAGCTGTGGAAGTGCATCTGGGAGAGGTGGGCGGCGAGCAGGTGAGTGTGTTGGAGTGATTGCTACCGTCGAAGAGAGCGGTGGAAGTGCATGTGGGAGAGGTGGGCGGCGAGCAGGTGGGCATCCACTGGCTTCTGCAGCACACCGTCAAACCCCCCCTCTGCACACCTCTGCACCACTCCGCGATCCACGTCGGCTGTCAGAGCCACTATGGGCACCCGCAGGGAGACAGGCCACCCAGCAGGGGCAGCAGCAGGGTTTGAAGCTTCTAGGGAAGGGACGGGCAGAGCAGAAGGGGTTTGATGATGCCTCTGCTGCTGCAACTGCTGTGCTCGTGAAATGGCTTCAAACTCCACTCTCCTCTCGAGGTCCCGTATGGCTGCTGCTGTTGCGAAGCTGGCAAGGCAAGGAGGCATGGACCGGAAGGGAGGAACAGAGCAGGTTTGCATTACGTCAAGTGAAGAAGGATTAGGTTTGCAATGAAGCAGGTTTGACAGGAAAAAAACGTTCACCACTCAGGTTCACCACTCAGGTTCGGGACTCAGGTTCGGGAATCATCCACATCGATGGCTCACTCACCCACATTCACGAGGCAACCATTCCATGCTCACCGCTCACCACCGCTCATGACCACTCACCCGTCCATGCCCGGCATCTGCAGGTCCATGAGAACCAAGTCGAACGCATGCTGCAGGGACACATCCTCCTGCTGCTCTCTCGCCTCCTGCTGTTCTCTCGCCTCCTGCTGCTCTCTTGCCTCCTGCTTCCCACTCGCCCCCTCCTCCCCTCTCCCCTCCTCCTGAACTCTACTTCCCTCCACCCCAGCAGCGATCAACTCTATCGCCTGTTCCCCACGGGAGGCGGTGGTGACTCGGGCGCCCCAGTTGGCGAGGGAGCGGCGGGCCACGAGGAGGTTTACAGGCGTGTCGTCAACCACTAGCACTCGCAGCCCCCCCACCCACGCCCCTGTCACCGCCTCATCTGCCGCCGCCGTTCGCAGGCCGGTAGTTATGGCAGTGGTTTCGGCTGCTGCTGCAGACGCGTATCGCCGAAGCCTTCTGCTTGCTCTCCCATTTGAAGCACTCTTTACTTCTCTTCCCTCGAAAACTGCTGAGCCTTCTCCTGCACTGCCCACCCTCGCCAGTGCCACTAGTGATCGCTCATGTTGCTGCTGTGGCTGCTGCTGCGGCTTCTGTGGCTGCAACTGCTGCTGCTGGTTCAGGTTATCTTGGACCACCTGGAAATTCTCCTGGCAGTGCTGCGGAAGCAGATTCGTCTCTTCACACTGCTCCATTGGTTCTGAACTGTGATTCTGCGTACCGCTGCCAACACCGGAACAAATTCCCAAGCCTGTTTCCTGCCCACAAGCACTGCTGGAACCACCTGGGGAATCACCTGATTCGGTTTCCTGACTCTGCAACTCTTGCGATGCCAACACGACAAGTTCCTCATCTGAGCAGTGTTCTTGTAGCGAGCAGTGTTCTTGTAGTGAGGGAATGGCCACGGGCACAGAAAACGCCACAGTGGAGCCACAGCCAGGCTGGGAATCAAAGGCAATCTCTCCCTTCATTAATGTCACCTGCGCGTTGCAAGAAAAAAAAAATGTTGTTATCAAAGTCACATACATCCAAAAGATCTGTCATTCTCATGCCGCCATTGCACAGTGTATGAGCACAATTCCCTATGCGAGATGTTTTATGCTGCAATTCCCTTACTCCAAGCTACAGTCTTGAATGCTCTAATGCTGCTATGATGCTTGCGTGCTGATGTCATTGCTCAGACCACTTATGTCACTGTTCAATGTTACGCTATGTGTGTGTGTGCACGCGCATGAGCACTCACCATCTACTGCATGAGCACTCACCATCTGCTGCATGAGCACTCACCATCTGGTGCATGAGCACTCACCATCTGGTGCATGAGCACTCACCATCTGGTGCATGAGCACTCACCATCTGCTGCATGAGCACTCACCATCTGGTGCATGAGCACTCACCATCTGGTGCATGAGCACTCACCATCTGCTGCATGAGCACTCACCATCTGCTGCATGAGCACTCACCATCTGCTGCATGAGCACTCACCATCTGCTGCATCAGCACTCACCATCTGCTGCATCAGCACGAGCCCAAGTGATGCTCCTGATCCACTCCCTACCTCATGCAACTCCTGAATGGTGAGGGTGCCATGCCATACCATGCCATACCATGCCATACCATGCCATACCAAGCCATACCATGCCATACCATGCCATGCCATGCCATGCAAAGGGGTTAAAGGCAGGATGAGATCCATGTTGGGATGGGATGGGACGGGTTGACATGATGGCATGGGGTGGCGTGGGATGGTGTTAGAGCCTCCCCCCTGCCCTAGGGTTGGAGCAGAGACAGTGGCAGGCCGCATTTCAAATCTGAGCACGACACCACCGGCAACGTTAAAGCTAATAACAACTCACCACGAGGGAGGAGTGCGAAGGCTGCCCGTTCCCTGTGGGCTTCAAGCAGAGAGGGTGACGTGAATTTAAAAGTGTTTTGAGCCGTCTCAAAACACTTCTAATTTCACATGACTCCAAGCAGAGGGGGTGGCAGGCATTGTCAATGCAGGACAGGTGGGCTGCGGAGGCCTTACTTCCACCCTCATTGCAAGCGACAAGTGTGAAGCCATTCATTCACCCTCATTGCAAGCGACAAGTGTGAAGCCATTCATTCACCCTCATTGCAAGCGACAAGTGTGAAGCCTCCCTGTTGCTGTGAAATCCAAGCAGAGGGGGTGGCAGGCCTTGTCAATGGAGGGAAGGTGGGCTGCGGAGGCCTTACTTCCATCAACTTGAAGCCATTTATTCACCCTCATTGCAAGCGCAAAGTGTGAAGTAAGGCCTCCGCAGAGGCCTCCCTCCGCAGAGGCCTCCCTCAACTCCGCAAAAGTGTGAAGCCTCCATCTTTCTTTTGAGTTGACTCATTGCAAGCGAAAAGTGTGAAGCCTCCCTCTTTCTTTTGAGTTGACTCATTGCAAGCGAAAAGTGTGAAGCCTCCCTCTTGCTGTGGGCTCCAAGCAGATGTGAATCACTTTTGAGAATTCCAAAAAAGGGTGGCAGGCCGCATTTCAAATCCCTCATCCCACACGCGAAGCCAACAGTACCCATCCATTCCCACTCACCGCAAGCGAGAAGTGCGGCGCCTCCCTGCTGCCTTGAGCTCCGAGCAGAGACGGTGGCAGGCCGCACCCCGAATCCCGGCACGACAGCACCAGCACACCCAACCACTGCCCATTCTCCCACTCAGGACTCCTGGCATTCCCCCTCCCCTCCCTCGCTCCACGTAGTGCGTTGCTCGATGCACTTGCTGCTTCTGCTTCTGCAGCTGCTGCTGCCGCTGCTGCTGGAAGTGCCCGTGTTGTGGTGACATGTTTCAGCCAGCGAAAGGTAGAGAGAATCCAGGCAGCCGCCGAGCTGGTGAGAGCAGGCGTGGGTGCGTGAGGGGTGGCGGTGGAGAGACCTGGAGGAGAGGAGTAAGGCGGGTGCGAAGGGTGGGGGGGAGAGGGCGTGGGGAACGCACGGGAATGAGGAAGACCAGGCAGCATCCAGCTGGTGAGGGTGGAAGTGGGTGCCTGAGGGGTGGCGGTGGAGAGACCTGGAGGAGAGGAGTAAGGCGGGTGCGAAGGGTGGGGGGGAGAGAGCGTGGGGAACGCACGGGAATGAGGAAGACCAGGCAGCATCCAGCTGGTGAGGGTGGAAGTGGGTGCCTGAGGGGTGGCGGTGGAAAGGCCTGGAGGAGAGGAGTAAGGCGGGTGCGAAGGGTGGGGGGGAGAGAGCGTGGGGAACGCACGGGAATGAGGAAGACCAGGCAGCATCCAGCTGGTGAGGGTGGAAGTGGGTGCCTGAGGGGTGGCGGTGGAGAGACCTGGAGGAGAGGAGTAAGGCGGGTGCGAAGGGTGGGGGGGAGAGAGCGTGGGGAACGCACGGGAATGAGGAAGACCAGGCAGCATCCAGCTGGTGAGGGTGGAAGTGGGTGCCTGAGGGGTGGCGGTGGAAAGGCCTGGAGGAGAGGAGTAAGGCGGGTGCGAAGGGTAGGAGGGGGAGAGGGAATGAGTAATATCATAACAGAGTGAGAAGTTTATTCATCTAAACAAGCTCTCAAATGTGAATGTAAATGCTCACGCAGATGCTTACCCTGGCAATGAAGGGCGTCTTGCAAACTTGTCCCTAGTGGCACCAGCGACACCCGAACTGTCACATGGCCTTGTTCCGTGAACTTCACGGCGTTGTCTGAAAGGAAACCAAGGTGGTGTGGTGGTGTGCAGTGAAATCATACATCATGTAAATTTGAGCACTAGAGCACGAACACACAACCACAGCTAGTGTCGATTGAGGAATGCAAGTTGGCCCTCAATCGATGGATAGGCAGTCAACGCATGTGCAGTGGGATGGATAGACCCAGCTACATGAAGATCACTCTTGAGAATTCTTAAAAGTGTTTTTCAGCGCGTGTGCAGCGGGTTGAATAGGCCCAGCTCAGACCGGCCATTTTGATGGCGTGCCGGGTTGGCTTGAGTCGTGCTTGTGAATGTAAATGCTCACGCAGATGCTTACCCTGGCAATAAAGGGCGTCTTGCAAACTTGTCCCTACTCCACAAAAACATCCGATTATTTTGACGACAAAGGACCGCGTTATCTGATATCACCGGGCCATCACATTAGATATCACAGTGCACTTCTCAATGTGATGGCCTGGTGATATCACCGGGCCATCACATTGCATATCACACAGTGCACTTCTCTTCTCACAGGGGCAGCCTGCAGGCGACGATGCAACACCACCTGCTCTTCGATCATTGCCCGCAATTCTGAATCGACTCAAACATCGGATGATGAACCGCGTAATCGGATTCCGCCGGTTTATCACATCACAGCGCACTTCGCACAGGGGCAGGTGAGGTGAGGCAACGCAACGCTAGCTGCTCCTTTTCTATTGCCAGCAATTTACAATCGTCGAGCTGATCAGCTCAATATCGGATGATGGTCCGTGCTACCTGATGGCCCCGTGCAGTCACAGTGCACTACTTCACACGGGAGTAGGCAAGGCAATGTCACCCGCGCTTTGATGATTGCCATTCTTTTTTAGTCGACTGAGGTGTCGGATGCTGGACCGCGTTATATAATTGCGCAATTGCTCTTTTGCTCATGTAACAGGGAATCACAGTGGACTCAGCAAAAGAGGAGACTTTTGAGTGGACTCAAAAGTCACCTCCAGTTGCGCCGGGTCATCACAGTGGACTTTGCAATCTTGAGCTTCCGAGCACGAGCTGCTCTTTGCTTAGTGCTAGCAAATTTGAGTCGACTTAGATATCAAATGATGGATCCTGTCCTGTTAGCTGATTGTGTCGGGCCATAACAGGTAAGGCAATGCTAGCTAATCTTTGTTTATTGCCAACAATTTTCAGTCAACTCAAATATCACGCAATCTGATTGCGCCGTGCAATCACAACACACACAGGAGCAGGTGAGCCAATGCTAACCACTCTTGTTTATCCTCAACAATTTCAGTTGACCCTAGATATTGGATGATGGACTGCACTATTTGATTGCATAGGGCCATCGCATCACATCACAGTGCACTTTGTGCAGGATCAGGTGAGACAACAACCCTAGTTGCACCTTGTTTATTGCCAACATTTTTAAGTCACCTCAGATGTAAGATGAGGCACCATGCTATCCGATGCGCCATGCAATCACATTGTCACAGTGCGATTCGCATAGTCGCAGGCGAGGAAACGCTAGCTGCTCTTTGTCTTATCCCTAACGCTCTTGAGTTGACTCAGATACCGGACGGATGATGGACCGCATTATCCGATTGCTCTGGCTCATTACAGTGCACTTCGCATAGGACCAGGTAAGGCAATGGCAGTAGCTCCTTATTTATTGACACGATTATTATGTAAACTCAGAGAAGCAGTAATGGACCGAGTTGTTTGACTACGCCGAGTCGAGTCATCACAGTGCACTTTGCGCGATCTGCGTAGATCAACGGTCAAAATGTGCCGATCTCGACCATTTGACCAGTTCGAGGCGATTCGACCATTTGACCAGTCACCAGTTCGAGGCGATTCGACCATTTGACCAGTTCGAGGCGATTCGACCATTTGACCAGTTCGAGGTGATTCGACCATTTGACCAGTTCGAGGCGATTCGACCATTTGACCAGTTCGAGGCGATTCGACCATTTGACCAGTTCGAGGTGATTCGACCATTTGACCAGTTCGAGGCGATTCGACCATTTGACCAGTTCGAGGTGATTCGACCATTTGACCAGTTCGAGGCGATTCGACCATTTGACCAGTTCGAGGTGATTCGACCATTTGACCAGTTCGAGGTGATTCAACCATTTGACCAGTTCGAGGTGATTCGACCATTTGACCAGTTCGAGGCGATTCGAGCCGAACCGGTTCGGATTCGACACGTGCTCATGCCTTTTACCACGTACCTGTGATTTCTTTTAGAACTTTAGAGAGGTGCATCGAGTCCGCGATAATGTAAGTGGGAACGTCGTCGTCGACACTGTCGCAAACTGAAGCGGAAGGAGATACGAGTGGGGTGGAAGGAAGTAGAAAGGAAGCAGAAAGTATGTGTGGGGTAAGCATCAAGGAAGATAATATTTCAACAATCTACAAGCATCACAAGGAGCACAAGTATATGATACATCACGTCTTGAGATGTAACTAGATTTAGGCATATCAAAACCCATCTCTTGATGAACTCTTTTGTGCACTCACACTCGATGCCTTTGGAGCGTGCCATCTCCGCTTGTCGGTCCAAGGCAGCATGCAGCCACTGGTGCACATCTATCACCGGCAACCAAAGCTTGCGAATAGAGGGATTATCTCAAAGAGCCACTCACACTCGATGCCTTTGGAGCGTGCTGCCTCCACGTGCCGGTCCAAGTCGGCATGCACCCACTGGCGCACATCACTCACCACCTCATCCACCACCGCTTTGCAGGCCTCCAGATTCGCCACATGCGCTGCACCCCCCTTCATTGAACCAGTGACTCACATTCAATCCCTTTGGAGCGTGCCGCCTCTGCGTGGCGGTCCAAGGTGGCATGCAGCCACTGGCGCACATCAGTCACCGCCTCATCCACCACTGCCCTGCCTGCCTCCAGCTTCGCCAGGTCCAACACGCGGTTGACCAGATGCAACGTATCCGTCGCACAACCCCGTGCGGTGAGTAGGTCTGATAGGTCAGGGGGTTGGAGCGTCATGTCTGCCAAAGCATCGAGCATGCCTGGTGGGAGGCAGGGGGGGAGGGAGGGGTGCATGAAGGACAGTGCGTAGCCTCATAAAAAATCGAGCATGCTTGGGCGGGAGATAGGGATGAAGGAAGAAGGGAGTATGGTGCCAAGAGGACGTGATATGGACAAGTTGGGTCTGATAGTTCAGGGGGTTGGAGAGTCATGTCCGCTAGAGCATCGAGCATGCCTGGTAGGAGAGAGAGGTGTAGGAAAAAAGTGTATCATATCACGACGAAGGGTTAGCAATCGCGAGCCTCACAAGCAATGGTGAAGGAATTAAGGTTAGTGTTAGCAACCTTAGACCATCTAAAACAGCGGAAACAAACAGCATATATGATAATGCAATAAGCATTTTGTCTTACCAATGATCCCCGTCATTGGTGTCCTGAGTTTGATTTTGCTTTTGAGTCGAGTAAAAAACAGTATTACCAATGATCCCCGTCATCGGTGTCCTCAGCTCATGAGACATGCACGCCGCAGCTGATGCCTTCACAACTGTTTTATGGTTTGTCTTGCATGCGGCTATAAAAAAATAGTGTTCGAACGTACCAATTATGCCCGTCATCGGTGTCCTCAGCTCATGAGACATGCACGCCACAAACATGCTCTTAGACGCCTCTGCGTCCTCTGCTTCCTTCCTCAGCCTGTCTGCCTCCGCCATGTGCTGCTGCGTCTGGAAGAACTGCGCTCGCTGGATCCATGCCGCCAGCAGCACGAGCAGCACGAGGAGGAGGGCGAAGAGGGCGATGAGGATGGGGATGCCCCACGATTGCCACGCGTTGGGAGGCTGCGTGTACCTGGATGGGGGGGGGGATAACAGGAAGGTTGTTTGTGTACAATATTCACAAGGCAGGGGCACAGGCGGAGGGCGAAGAGGGCGATGAGGATGGGGATGCCCCACGATTGTCACGTGCTGGGAGGCCGCGTGCCTGGATGGGGGAATAACAGGTTATATATATATACAATACATATATACATAATTTACTATGCATGTATATAGTAAAAGGGAGATGAGGATTAGGATGCCAAACAAATACAATATGCTGGGGGGCTGTGTGTGCCTGGGTGGGAGAACAGTAGCAAGGTTGTATAGATCTACTATGCAAGTGCATAGGTAAATAATGCAAGGATAATTAGATCTAAAGGGTCTAATAATGCCTGCGTGTCAGCACTATCACTAACGTGCAAGAGTGAAGGAGCAAAAAGAAAACAGGAAGGAGCGTACATCCTTTGTCTCCTTCCAATGCTCCAGAAATCTCACCAACACCAACCCTCATACTTGGGCACGCCTGCTCCCAGCTCATCCAAATGCTTTAGAGTCAACCCAAACGAATTTAGATTGAGCTTACTAAAAAAATGACTCATATGCACCAACCATCATATGTGCACACGCCAGCTCCCAGCTTATCCAAATGCTTTTGAGTTAACCCAAAAGGGTTCAGATTGAGCTCGCTTAAAATTACTCACCTACACCAACCTTCATACTTGCGCTCGCCTGCTCCCAGCTTATCCAAATGCTTTTGAGTCAATTCAAAAGGGTTCAGATTAAGCTTACTTCAAAAATTGGCTCACCTGCACCAACCCTCATACTTGCGCACGCCTGCTCCCAGCTCTTCTAAATGCTTTTGAGTCAATCCAACTTAAAAAGGGGTTCAGATTGAGCCTACTTAGAAAATGACTCACCTGCACCAACCCTCATACTTGCGTACGCCTGCTCCCAGCTCTTCTAGAGGCACTACAGCCGGTCCCTCCCAGGGGCGAGTTTCGGACAGTGGAGAGGGCAGCATGTTGGGGCGAGGGTCGTTGGGGCGGAAGTAGACGTGCGGTGGGACTGGAGAGACGATGGCGAAGAGAGACGACGGGTCTGTAACATCGTACATCTCGAACGATTTTGACGAGTCTAGATGGAAGGGAAGGGAAGAGGGCGGGGGAAAGGAGAAGGGGGAGAGTGGAAGGAGAAGACAGAGCCTTACAATGACTCTGTAGATCACATAGCACAAGATTAGGAGCCAAAGGTCATAAATGACGTGTGAGGAAGTGTTTGAGTCGACTCAAAAGTCACCTTGTTTTGAGTCGACTCAAGAGGAGGATCCAAAGGTTATAAATCACGTATGAGGAAGGTGAAAAGTATGGACCCGTGCACTCTATCCTCTAAGAGAGAAGACGGGCCCATAACATCGTACATATCGACCAACTTTGATGGGTGTAGATGGATGGAGTGGAATGGTGGAGGGGAGGGTTTTGGAAGGAACGTGGGTTTTCATACAGGTGCATACAGCCCTTAACTCACAGCCCTACCCTAAACCCTAAACCCAGGTGCATACAGCCCTTAACTCACCAGGTGCATACAGTCTTAACTCACCAGGTGTATACAGTCTTAACTCACCAGGTGTATACAGTCTTAACTCACCAGGTGTATACAGTCTTAACTCACCACGTGCATACAGTCTTAACTCACCACGTGCATACAGCCCTTAACTCACCAGGTGTATACAGCCCTTAACTCACCACGTGCATACAGCCCTTAACTCACCACGTGCATACAGCCCTTAACTCACCAGGTGTATACAGCCCTTAACTCACCACGTGCATACAGCCCTTAACTCACCACGTGCATACAGCCCTTAACTCACCAGGTGTATACAGCCCTTAACTCACCACGTGCATACAGCCCTTAACTCACCAGGTGTATACAGCCCTTAACTCACCACGTGCATACAGCCCTTAAATCACCACGTGCATACAGCCCTTAACTCACCAGGTGTATACAGCCCTTAACTCACCAGGTGTATACAGCTCCTCTAGAACCTTCTGTGCGATGGATGTCACGTCAACAGATGTAGCAAGCGTGCCATACACTGTCGATGCAGCTGCCTTGCTTGTACTGGTCGGAGAGACAGTGCGCCGAAGAGGAAAACCCAAGCCTGCAGTGCCAGAGGCGACAATGTGAGGGTTACACAATATGAGGGTTAAACAATATGAGGGTTAAACAATGTGAGGGCACAACGATAAGGCACTCCAGTGCACTGAATCTTCAAGTGCCGTATCCTTAACCTGTCCTGCCCCGTTTGCTTTTACCTGGCCGAACAAGCGTTTTATGAATCCGCCCATACCAACCGGAGGCGAGGACTTCAAATCGCAAGTGCGTAGTATGCCACTTAGCTCTCGGCACTGACCATTACGAACAACAACTCACTCACCCGACCTGTCTTATCTTCGATTCAAAATGGTAAAAAAAAAAAAAAAAAAAAAAAAAAAAAAAAAAAAAAAAAAAAACTCAAAATGGGACTCACCGAATCCCGCATGGTCGGTAGGAGTACTCATGGGATACGGCCACGTGTAGAGCGGTTTTCCCGCCACAGCAAGTGGAATCTCCGTGGAAAAGCGCTTCATTAGATCAATATGCCACGAGCCATTCGATACCACGACTGTGGAGAAATCGAGGATCTTGGGGCAGTAAATGGGGCGGTGGGCGCTGACGTTCTTGTTGTTGTCTTTTATGGTGCCGTGTTGTCGCTCGAAAGAAGCCCTGAAGCAGTGACGTTTGTGGGGTGAATCGGGGGGGACGAGGAAAGAGGAGATCGGAAAGAGGAGATCGGAAAGAGGAGATCGGAATTCTGTTGAATTGCCTTGTGCCCCTTCACCCCCTCTCTTCATGAGGTCGATGTGCCATAAGCCATTGGCTTCCAGCCATACTGCCGCTCAAAGGTGGGCCTGTACTGATGTGTGCAGGTGGGATCAGGTAGGAAGGGAAGGCAAAGCGCGCTTCATGAGGTCGATGTGCCACGAGCCATTGGCTGCCACGACTGTGGAAAAGTCTAGGATCTTGGGGCAGTGGATGGGGCAGTGGGTGCTGATGTACTTCTTCTTGTCCTTTATGCTGCCATATTGCCGCTCAAAAGAGGCCCTGTTGCAATGTGTGTGTGGAGAATCAGGAGGAAAGAGGAAAGAGGTGAATGGGTCACCAGATATCACAACACTCATGCTTTTGGGTCGACTCGACATCATCCTGCCAAGTGAAGTCATGGTTTACAACATCACAACAGAATGAGTGGTTTACTGCATCACAACAGAATGAGTGGTTTACTGCATCACAACAGAATGAGTGGTTTACTGCATCACAACAGAATGAGTGGTTTACTGCATCACAACAGAATGAGTGGTTTACTGCATCACAACAGAATGAGTGGTTTACTGCATCACAGCACTCATGCTCACACCAAACGCACATACGAACTTCCCCTCTTTCCTCTTTCCCTCCTTCCACCCTCACCTCTCCGTCCACGAGAAATACACGTAAGAGAGCTTCTGCGTTCCCCATCCCCCCGCAACCCCCTCCCTCTCTCACCTCCACCCCCCGCAACCCCCTCCCTCTCTCACCTCTCCTGGTCCCTGACCAAGACACAAGAAGTCGCCCCCGTGTTGCCCGGTATTTTTGGCGCCTCTGGAAATGCATGTTGAATTGCCTTGTGCCCCTTCACCCCCTCCGTCTCTCACCTCTCCTCATCCGTGACAAAGACGGATAAAGACGCTCCCGTGTTCCCGGGGCGAGCATAGGCGGTGCGAGTGAGATTCGCCTCCCATGTCCTGCCGTTCAAACACACACCCCCTTCCTCCCACCGCATTCCCCCCTCCCCTCCCTCTCCTACCTCTCCCCATCCGTGACAACGACGCACAAAGACGGCCCCATGTTCTCGGGGCGAATTTTGAGTCGACTCAGAAAAATTGCCTTCTGCCCCTTCACCCCCTCCCTCTCTCACCTCTCCTCATCCGTGACAAAGACGCACGAAGACGCCCCCGTGTTCCCGGGGCGAGCATAGGCGGTGCGAGTGAGGTACGCCTCCCACGTGCTGCCGTTCAAACACGTGTCCAGCTCCCACTTGCCTCTCTGCCCCAGCCTTCCCATCACTGAGATGATGCCTGTGAGTGTCTGTGCATGGGGGGACAGGGAGAAGAGAAGAACAGCAGGGCATTAGCATCATAACGTGGCATACAATGTTGGATCAATGTGTCGTTCTCCCACTTGCCTCTCTACCCCAGCCTGCCCATCACTGAGATGATGCCTGTGAGTGTCTGTGCTGGGATGGGAGGATACAGGGCAGGGCACCGCGATGACGGCGACGGCGACGACAACAAGAACAGCATCAAGAAAAGAAGAAGAAGGAAAAACAAAAACTGGAAGAGAACCAGAATGAGAACAATAAGAACGACAAGGGCAAGAACAGTAACAGGTACAGGAACAGGAACAGCAAGGGAAACAGAAACAGGAATAGGAACAGGAACAGTGATAGCAGCAAGCAACGACGCCGATGATGACGCACGACGACCCGACAGCAACAGCAGCAGCAGCAGCAGCAGCAGCAGCAGCAGCAGCAGCAGCAGCAGCAGCAACAGGAAATACAACAATATTACCGAAGTGGTTAGGACACTGAAGATGAAAAATGGAAAGTGTCCAATCAAATTACCCTTCTGACACCACTCCAGCCTTACATGGATTGGACACCACTCCAGCCTTAAGATTCCGTTCTGATCAAACTGGCTCTCTAAACACGTTCTGGCATACAAGTTTAACCAGGCTTCCATTTTCTCATTCTCATGGAGTTTGTCTCGCCGTCTCAATAACATTTAAGTCGATGGACATTAGACCTCTGCAGCCCACCTGTTCGATAATAACAGCACTCCAGCCTTACATGGATTGGACACCACTCCAGCCTTACCTGCATCTGCCCCACATGTGTGAGCACGAGCTGCTGCAGCATGAGGGCGCGCTCCTTGCACCACACGCCCAGCGCCTCCTCCCTGTGATCCTCGTACTGCGAGTGCTTCCAGTAGAGTAGCGATGCTGCCACGGCCAGACCACACAGCACCCACGCCGCCACCAGCACTGTGAACCAGGGGGCTGGGAGGGGGGTGAGAGGGAGGCGAGGGCGAGGGGAGAGGGAGAGACGAAGGAACGAGAGCGGCGAGAGAGGGGAGAGAGAGAGGGGGTAGAGATAGGGGGCAGCATGAGGGCGCGCTCCTTGCACCACACACCCAGCGCCTCCTCCCTGTGATCCTCGTACTGCGAGTGCTTCCAGTAAAGCAGAGATGCTGCCACCAGCACTGTGAACCAGGGCGCTGGGATAGTAGGGGAGGAGAGAGAAAGGAGAGGTGATAAAAGGGGCCCAGCCACGACCAGCCCACATAGCACTCATGCCGCCACCAACACTGTGAACCAGGGCGCTGGGGAGGGGGAGTGAGAAGGAGGCGAGAGAGGAAACGGGGTAAGCTTGAGTGTGTAGTCCTCGTACTGTGAGTGCTTCCAGTAGAGTAGCGATGCTGCCACGCCCAGCCCACAGCACCCACGCTGCCACCAGCACTGTGAAGTGAACCAAGGGGCTGGGAGGGGGTTGAGACAGAGGAGAGAGAGGAAACGGGGTAAGCTTGAGTGTGTAGTCCTACTGTGAGTGCTTCCAGTAGAGTAGCGATGCTGCCACGCCCAGCCCACAGCACCCACGCCGCTACCAGCTTCGTGAACCAGGGCGCTGGGTGAGCGAGGGGCAAGAGAGGGGAGCGCGAGGCGGGAGAGAAGGGAATGAGAAGGGAGGGCCGATCAGAGAGACAAAGCAGCACCAACACTGAACACACACAGCACCTACGCCGCCACCAGCACTGAAAGGGCTCTGGGAGAGCGAGAAAGGGGGAGGTAGAGGGGGAGGAGTGAGAGGAGGGGGAGAGAAAGGAGAGGTGATCAGGGGGGCCCAGCCGCGCCCAGACCACACAGCACCCCACCCCGCCACCAGCACTGTGAGGGCGCTGGGCGCTCGAGGGAGATGGGCGAGAGATGGGAGGGAGATGGGCGGGAGATGGGCGAGAGATGGGAGGGAGATGGGCGGGAGATGGGCGAGAGATGGGAGGGAGATGGGCGGGAGATGGGAGGGAGATGGGAGGGAGATGGGCGGGAGATGGGCGAGAGATGGGAGGGAGATGGGCGGGAGATGGGCGAGAGATGGGAGGGAGATGGGCGGGAGATGGGCGGGAGATGGGCGAGAGATGGGAGGGAGAGGGGGGAGAGATGGGGGAGAGAGGGGGGGCAGAGAGGGGGGGAAGAGAGGGGGGAGAGATGAGAGGGAGAGAGGGGAATGAGAAGGGAGATCTGACCAGGAGGGGGACAAACCACGCCCAGCCCACACATCCAATGCTGCCCCACCACAGGGAACCCATGACGCCACCACAGGGAACCCATGACGCCACCACAGGGAACCCATGACGCCACCACAGGGAACCCATGACGCCACCAGCACTAAACCTGCTCGATTCTAAACGAACATGTGAGGTCCCCGCAGAGCCATGGGGATCTGTTCTTAACATTCAATATAGAAGTTCTACAGAACTGATCCTCGCCGCTCACACCGAGAGCGCCGCGCTCTGCTGCGTTAGCGCCTCGATGTTGTCGGCTAGTACCTGACGTCCCTTGTTGGCGATTAACTAGTAAGCACGGGAACCACCCATTAGTTTCTATCACTCTCACCCTGGAATAGCACTCCTGCAGAGAAAATTAGAGGTCCTCCCGATGCAGTATCATCCCGTTTCTCTCTCTCCCTTTTTACGGCAGTCGCGTCGCCTCTAACTCCGCCCCCCGCCATGACGGTCGTTTTTTTCTAGCAGGCTCCTATTCTAAAATATCCGTCTTATTCCCCAGATATATTTTTTAAGTCCAGGAGTAATGTGGAACAAGAAAGATCTGTCTTAATGACACAGTTCAGGCCGGTTCTACTACTAGTAGTGGAAGCCCACTTCGTATTGGCTTAAAGAGTTGCTCACAATCAAGAGAAGGCCTTGGGACGCCCCGGTGCACTGGGAAGCTTCCACCATTGAAAAGCGATTTGTACCACGAATCACCACGGCTTTGGTGCACGGACTCGCACTCGCCGGCACGCACCGGCAGGCCCCCACAACCGTGGTTCTTGGTGCAACATGTTTCTGAGAGGTGAAAGCTTCGAAACCCGGTGAACCGGGGGCGTGCCGAGGCGTTCCGCACCATAGCGGGTGGGTTATAAGGGCGTGTGTGGTATTTTTCTAGGAACAGAAAATGGTCAAACTGTGTCTGGTTACCGGTTTCGTCCATGTCGTGAACAAAGTCTTCTGAGAGAATCCAATATCTGTACCACAACAATTTCGAGTTAATCATCTGAACTTGACTCGACTCAGAAACGAACGTGTGTACTTTTGAGCACGTACGAAGAATGGGCGAAATGAGCGAATCCTTCTTGCTGTAGGAAACCGACAGCCGAAAAGGAAGCGACAGAGGTTTTAGAATCTAGAGAGAGACGGGGGACGAAATTATCTATATATCTTTTTGAAATTGTATATCTATTCTTAAAACTCTGTTACCGTAATCGCCCGGCAATAAGCAACCTCTCCCCCACCCCCCCCCCCCCCCCCCCCCCTCTCTCCCCCCCCCCACCGCGTAGAGGCCCCGGTGTCTTCTTTCCGGACTACGGGTCTTTTATTCCACCTGTTCTCGTGAGGACCCGTCTTTCCCATTTTATTTTTATAAGACCCTCTCCCTCGTCGATGAAGGACACCGACTCCTCAAGCGGCAACGCACGTAGCGACTGTGCAGCGTCGTGCTCGATGGTCGGCGTGGTGGAGCTGACCATTTCGCTTGCGAGGAGGCCGGCGAAGACTTCCAGACGGTTGTTGCCGCCGTGCAGACGAATCCGACCGTAGTGCTCCTTGATAGAGGCTGTTCCCATCACCTGATGGGAACTCGGGAGGCCTTCGTCCACATGGAGCCTGGAGGCGACGTCAACCATGTGCGCGGCGTCAATGGGGCGATTCATGTCATTTTAAGGCCGCAACATCATCGCCATGCAAGGGGAGGCAGGGAAGCAGATCCTCGTCCCCGACGTGCTTTACGTCCCGGAAGTGCAGGCAAACCTCCTATCAGCCGGCCAGCTGAAGGACAGCGGCGTGAAGCTGCAGGACGACGGCGACGAGATGCTCCTGGTGTCGGTTGCGGGAGATGTGCTCGGCCGCACCGGTCGGGTCCTATGCACCGACCTCCGCCCCTGCTCGACGAAGTCGACGTCGACTTCGACGGAGACGGTTGCACTGCGGATGATCGCCTCGGCGACGAAGTCGTCGCTAAACATGTGGCACGCTCAGCTAGCGCACTTCGGCGTCGACACGATCAAGAGTTTAGCGGTGCATGGGGTCGCCGCCGGCCTGGATATCAAGCCGACGTCCGAAGCCGACTTGCCGTGCGTCTCCTGTGTCGGTGGACGTAGGTCTAACATGTTCTCCCCTTCATGTCAACGTAGGTACTGTGCGAGTTGGCTTGCGATATACGACAGGCCCGGTCGGCACGTGACGGCGGCGAAGAGTAGGCATCCAAGCTGCTGCTCATAGAGCTGGTGATCAGCGACGGAGAGTGGCGTGGTGTCTGGAGTGTCTCGGGGAGGAGGAGTTGCGAATTTCTTCGCGAGGGTCTCGGCGTACTTCACGGCAGAGAGATGAATAGTGTCAGCAGACTGAGTGATGTTGAGGCCGAGAAACTGAGTTGCTGAATGTGAAATGGTGAGATCGAGTTTCTTCTGTGAAGATAAGCAGTAGAAGAAGGCGCCATAGCTAGGAAAGCCCTAGCTAGGCAAGAAACAGTTTAGGCAAAGAGAGGAGTTGCACTAGCAAGAATGAGGATACAAATAGCAAACCCTAGAAGAGTTGTACTCGCTATAGAGCACCCCACTACAGGCTAGAGCATAATATTCTGACACACCCCCATAGCCAAAGTGGGGTGTAATCAGCAGAGCAAGCAAAGCAGAACAAGCTCAGGGTGGATCACAATGTCACCACACATTCTGAGCACAAGTTCAGGAAGCAAGAGTTCACAATAGGTAAGTAAGGCTAGAGCTAATCACAGAGGGCAAGTGAGGAGGAGGAGAGACTGTGGGGGAGAGAAGATGGGAGGCGACTGCTGACGCTGCAGACACACAGACGAGCTGCTGGCTCAGTGGCTACCGGAACAGCGCTCCGGACTACTGGGGTAACTAGCCCCGCGGCTAAAAGTAGCGGCAGACGAGCAACGGACCCACGGGCGACTGGCGACTACCGGAGATTGTAGCCTCCGGACTGCTGCTGCTGCTGACGACAAGACTGCTGCCTCCACTCGACCTCCCCAGCTGCCTAACGCCCTTCTCACACACCCCCTGCTCAAACCCTAGCCCTACACCCACAGCACCCCCTTAAACCCTAAACCCCAGACTCCCACACATCCACCCCCCTCAGCGAGAGCTGCAGCAGTGGGAGACGAAGGAGGAGGAGGAGGAGGGAACGGCACGCAGAAGCTGCACCCCCATACCCCCCACCCCCAAACCCTAATCCAGGAGAACGGGCAGAAGGAGGGGTGGGGCGCCTTCAGAAGCACGGGGGACAGCGGGGAGAACAGGGGCAGCGAAGAACGGGCCGCCCACGGGCCTGGCACAGCCTCCCGAACCGCGCGCAGGCGGCCCGAGCCGCGCGCGGGCCTGGCGCAGCCCGTACGGGCCGCGCGCCGGCTGTACGGGCCGCGCGCAGGCCACGACGGGCGACGGGGGGCGACGCGCGGGTCCCCGTCGCCCGTCGTAGCGCCTCCTGGGGGCGACGCGCCGAGTGACGGGGCAGAAACCCGCCGCGCGCCTCGGGGCGCACGGCGGGCAGAGAACCGCCGCGCGCCTCGGGGCGCACGGCGGGCAGAAAACCGCCGCGCGCCTCGGGGCGCACGGCGGGCAGAAAACCGCCGCACGCTCCGAGCGCGTGGCGGGATGAAAAATCCGTTGCACGCCACGGGGCGTGCAACACAGAGAGTAGCAGTAGCAGCGGAAGCAGTGAGGTGGGGCCCACAGGCCAGGAGCATATCGCTCTAATACCATGTGTAGATAAGCAGTAGAAGAAGGCGCCATAGCTAGGAAAGCCCTAGCTAGGCAAGAAACAGTTTAGGCAAAGAGAGGAGTTGCACTAGCAAGAATGAGGATACAAATAGCAAACCCTAGAAGAGTTGTACTCGCTATAGAGCACCCCACTACAGGCTAGAGCATAATATTCTGACATCTTCGTGATGTCGCTTTTGAAGCGGTCGAGTAGTTCCGCGCTTGTCCCGGTTTAGAGCAGGTTGTCGGCATAGCCGACAAGGAGGACGAAGTGGCCACGTGAATCGAGGCAATACATCCTTGGTCGTGTGGTAGCTGGTTAAAGCCGAGGGAGATGAGTACAGCGTGCAGCTGCCACAGTCGGGGGGCTTGTTTGATCCCGTAGAGGGAATTTTGCAGGAGGCAAGTCTTGGACCTGTCTTCTTCGAACGCGTGGGGTTGTTCGACGTAGATAACCGCATTGAGGATGGCATAGAGGAAGGTATTCTTGACGTCGATTTGACTTAGTCCCAGGTGTTTGGCGGCAGTCATACAGAGTTGTATGCGAATGAGGTGTGGCGGCTGACGTGTGCAAAGGTCTGGTCGTAGTCGACGTCGTGAGTTTGCTCGAACCCAGCATGACTTGTAATTATCGATAGAGCTTTCCGCATTAGTCTTTATGCATAAGACCCATATGCCGCTGAGAATCTTCTTTCCTCGTGCCGCTGAGCGTGAGACCCGTTTCCGGCTTCCGCGTCGCTGGATAGCTTCCACTTCCGCATTCATGGCTTCACGCCACTTTTCGCTATCAGGGCCTTGCAGAGCTTGGCGCACGGTGGTGGGTTTTTTGGGGGTGGACTGGCAAATTGCGACGGCGAGCCCAAGAATGCGAAGACCAGTTTCATTGGAGGTGGGTTCAGCGAGATGATCTAGATCGTGTGTGCTTGTTACTTCGATAACGTCATCGTCGTTTTCGTCGTCGTCGTCGTGGCGAATGGTGTCTTGCGAATTGTTGTTGACACGTAATGCGGCATCAGGAGATCGGCACGCTATGCTGTTGTAGTTGTGAGCTTCGCGAGCTATATCGTCGAGGTCGAATTGGAATACTAAAACGAATGTTGAGTCTGGAATAGGCTTGTAAGGGGGATGTTCGGATAGTGTTCGTTGGGATGGATGCCAGGTGCATCGCCTGCCACGTCGGCTTCGTCTCGTGTCGTGACGAAGCTATGGCGACCGGTGAAGATGTTTTCCTGAGCCTCGTCAGGTTCGTGGTGATGTTTGAAGAGTGGCAGTGTCAGTTTTTGTAGAAGATGTAGTCGCATGATTTTGTCACTTCGTGTGTTACGTAATCCATGACGATCCAGGCTTTGAATTCCTAC